ATACATCTTTTAAAATAAATATTTTTTTTAAATGTTCGTTTTTTTGGAAACGGCGGGAGTATATGCTTGACATTTACGTACACAAATATGCGTACCACCGTTAAGTGAGAGTTATGTACAAATAAATTTACTTTGTCGTCGGACATTAAGAAGTTCTTTTAAAGTTTATAGAGACAGTGTACACACATGTAAACAAATAAACATATGTGGATAGTGAAATAACAACGTATGACAGACAGATACACGGAGTGGATGTTACACGCAGGCGTAACAAACACGATTTATCCTGCAGGACAAAAAAAACGTTCAATGTAGCACAACATTGTTGACAAAAAAAAACGTAACGAATATTATAACAACTTTTATACCCATTCTATCATTTTCTAAAAGATTCTTCTTTTTGTTTCTAAAGACCCACCGTTCAAAACACTAAGTTCAAAACACACCATAGACAAGGTTTTTCATATTATAACGAAATTTGCGTTCATTCAATGCTGTGCAAAAATATAAAAACAACGAAGTGATGGTAATACATCCCTACTAGTTATCCAGTGTTTAAGTATCTAATTAAGTCTGAGAAAAATACACGTATATATATGCTTAGATTCATTATTTGTTTTAATCTGATTCATAAATTTATTTTACAGTCTAAGATTGTGATATATCTTAGTTTTTACTAGTTTCTAACCAATGTTCTGAATCTTGTATCGAGTCAAAGTATGTGTTTTAAAATTTTGTAATCTTTACAGGGGAGTTTGGTATTGTGGAAGCTGAGAAAGAGTGGAGTAAATGGGTGGTTTTACCGGGTTGGGATCAGGTTGTAACGTTTAAAGGAGTGGCAAGTTTCGTTTAGAGATGATAGGAAAGTGTTACCATGGAACGGGAAAGAAGAGGCGATCATTGTTGTGATGGATAGGGAGAAGAAAGTGGTGGAAGCTGAAGATGGGCACTATCTTGTTGCTACTGAGAGTGGGATGAAGTTGGAGAGAGCAGCCAAAGAAAGTTTAGGGATGGTTGTTTTGGTAGTGAGGCTGCCGAGAGATGGTGATTATGATGACTGAGATTAAAAGAATACATTCGAAACTATGTGACTCTTTGTTTGATCGCTTATTAGATACATATTTCCTTATTTTATTGTCTTATCAAGAGCTTATATGCATATGATTCTCACACAGTTTAGACTTGAGCTACATTTTTGTGCAGGTAAGTATATCGTATAAGTGGTAGGTGGTGATGACATTGCTGCTTCTATTACTAGGAAACGAAACGAGAAGAGTAGTTTAAAATGACAACTTTCAAGACTCTTAGAGGCAAAAAAAAAAACGCAATTTACAAATCTAGTAAATACAAAATCAGTGATTGAGCACAAGACAAACCTTTCCTTGGTGTTCTTCTCTAACTAATTAACTAACGTAAGGCAAGGAATGCATCCAACAAAAACTTTAAAACTAGTCACAAAAGATCATTGTAACACATGAGGCACAATGTAACATAGCAATTTTATGTTACTGGGACAGAGCAAACGCTGCCAATTTATCCTGTCAATCAAAGGTGGAGAGAATAAGTTTTTTCAGACACGTCTTGTTGATAGCTCTGAACAAACGTTTTCTAATAAAGATGAAACAAAAAAGAAGACAGGAAAAAACATACCTACCATCCTCGAAACATTTCACTTGCTTAATCAGCAGTCATGGCTGATACAAGTATTAGCAGGTGAAATATTTCTTACACGATCCACAAGTGCAGAAAGTTCTTGGTTAGTGTAATCAAGCCGTTCCTTTGAGACCATAGACTCTGTTAGAAGAGTCTCAGTCAGTGACTGAAACGTTTGAGCACAGTCATCATCACCAATACCCATACCATTTTGATTCTCATCAGTAGCAAGGGAGCTCTCCTGTCTCCACCGTACCAGAAAGTACTGTTCCGGTATATGGAAACAGTTCTTCACAGCCAGGACCCGAAGAGAATGCCTACACAAGATTCCCGAATGCTCAAACTCCTTGCAAGAACAATGAATCTCCACGTTTTCCGGGTTCCAGAACACACAACATTCCCCTTCCATTTTCTTGAAGTGATGCAAGATGTACGGACCGTTGGCCATCTCAGCTACCGCATACTGAAGAGACAAAACCATCTCGTTTTGTAATACGGTAAAGGCGTAAGGCGTCAGAACTGCTCTCGCGTGATCTTCCATAGGCATACATGTCTTCATGGTAGGATAAGGAACTCGCGGCGAGACTTGCTTGGCTAGAGTTGCAGCAGCAATGACCTCTTCAAGTAATGCTTGCATACACGATGGTCCCGAGACAATTCTTTTCAAGAAAGAATCTATAGATAGATTAAACTCAGCGGTCATAGTCTGAGCTAAAAAATGCTGTCTTACACAACAAGGTAACCAGGTTTCTCTGCACGCATAAAGCAAAGCCGCATGCCTATCTGAACCAAGACCAAACCGAGTGATAAGTAGACCCCACTGCTGTTCAAATTCATCTACACTCCCTACCCTGCATAACATCTCAAACCCACCTCTAAACTCATCATAATGCGACCCAAGAGCCTGAGAGAACCAGCTCGCTAGCTTCGAGACAACATGCCACATAAACACCACATGGTTAGTGTTTGGCATCTCCCTCCCAATAGCTTCCTTAAGTCCTCTATCTATATCCGTCACTATCGTCTGAGGATGCCCTCCCCTCATAAAACGAACAAAAGTCTGTCCAAAAAAGAAAATAAAAAAAAAGTGAGAGCATGACCACCAGCAAAACCGAACAAAACATTGCCTTACACCCCCCCCCCAATTTTTTGAAGAAAATTACAACTAGGCCCAAAAAATTTACACCCCCAATTTTGTAAAAAGAAAATACTAGTTGAAATCTTTAATAAATCACTTATATGGCCCCCTAAATCTCAGAGGCCTCTGACCACAACATATAACATGTACAATAAACACAAACACAACATATACAATAAACACAGTAAATTTTTTGAAGAGAATCAATTCAATTTTCAAAACATTGTTTTGAAGTAAAAAATAGAATGTCAAACTTTCTCAATCACTTTTTTTTAACTCAACAACAGTTTTTATCAACCAAAGTGATTACCTAGTTACAACCTCAATAAATTTAACCTAACACACAAACAATGAGACTTAGTGTCATATATAAACACTAAATTGGAACCTATGGTACTCAATCGAAACGTCAATGTATTTTTCACCACAACAAGAAAAAAAATTAGTTGAAATCTTTAACAAATCACGTATATGGCCCCCTAAATCTGCATATAACATTTACAAATAAACACAAACCTGTAAGGCCCACGTAAAAGAGCGGCAACTCTCATCCTGAAGCAAAACACACCCCAAAAGAATCGCATTCCCATGATTATCAATCCCAAAGAACACACCAAGAAGCAAACCATAAGTAACCGACCTATAACTCGTATCGAAAACAACCACATCACCAAACAAAGAATACCCCTCAACACACTCCCCATAAGCCCAACCCAAATTCTCAACTTTCCCACTCTCATCAAAACTAACCTCATAAACAAACCCCATATCCTTCCTCTCACCAAACCCTTTACAACACTCCAAAAGCTCCATCAAATCACACTCCCTCTTCTCGTTAACCAAAGCATCGTTCTCCAACACACTCTTCTTACACCCCCTAACAAAATTCCTAACGTCCTTTTCGATAAACGGTAAATTCACAACTCCCTTCTCTAACTCTAACAACTTAACGATCCGATTCACCGGGAATCCGGCTTTCGAGAGGAGGAGGATCTTCTCTTGATCAACTCGCTGTATCTTTCGATACGCGGGGAGGAGTCTAACCTCCTCGTCTCCGAGTAGCTCGTGGTTATGTACGTCGCTGAACTGCGAAACGTACCATTGAGTTATATTCTGTTGCTGTTGTTGTTGTTGTTGTTGATTGATTACTTGTTTTGTTAGGTAGAGTTTGGCGTCGCATCCGCAGCGGACGGATTTGCGTTCGCGCGGATGCGAGGCGTTAGGCTTTTTGCGAGGCTGGTTGAATCCGGAGCGGTAACAGACGAAGTCTCTTCGGTAGATGCCTAAGTTGTGGCTCTCGGTGGATCGGGCTTTGCGGATTGAGAAGCCGTTGGTTTTGGCGAAGGTTGTGTAGTATTCGAAGGCTTCGTCGTCGGTTTTGAAGATTTGGCCTACGTATGGGGTGAAGAGTTGTGGTGATTGTGATTGTGATTGTGATTGTGATTGTGATTGTGATGAGGTTGTTGTTGTTGATTGGATCTCGGATTTGGTTAAGTTTGTTGTTGATTCGTCTGCTCCTTCGAGGCGGATGTAGCATTTCCAATCGCCGCAGGGACATTGCTGACGACGGATCCAGATGTTGTTTAACGGCTTTGACGCCATCATCGCCGGAGGAATCTAACGAAATTGAGGTGATGAGAGTTCCCGATTCAGGAAAAATTAGGGTTCGTTCATAGGAGGATTTGAAAAGGAATTGCAGCGTCTGGAGTTCGAACTCGAGACATTGTGGCGCTCAATGATTAGGACCGGCTAATACTAAATCCGGTTTAGTAAACCGGTATAATATTACTCAATAAGTTCAATTTGGAAGAACGACAGTGGTTAGCTTACATGAGTAATTAGCTTATATCAAAAGAGACTTTTCATATAAACATGACAGTGTATACTGTATAACTTAAAAAGAGCCAATTATCAAAACTGATTGTCTATATTTCTAAAATTCACAAGAAAAAAGATGATTATTGGAAGGAAAATAACCTAAAAAAGCTAAATCAAACAGAAACCAGAAAATGATGTCAAGTTACTATAGGATTACACTGAGCCAAGAACATAAGGATCACTGTTTTCTCTGCCCTCTCTCTTTCTCTGCCTTTACAATGAAAATTTCCTTCAGGCATATTATGATGATAAGTCCACTCTCATCTTGATTCATGCTCTAACCTCCACACACACTTTCTTCAGAAACTTGAATCAGTACTAATCTGCCCATTTACTCATTTTCTGATGATCCATTTCCCCTCATTCCTGCACATCCACAAGACAGTCTTGGTAAAGCTAAGTATGATATAAAACCAAAGAGAGGCATAAAGATACAAACGAATAGAAAAAAGTGGTTAGCTGACCTGACAGATCATAGCCAGCACCGCCCCATTCAGAAGGCCAGGCATGTGTCATGTGCATGCCTTGAGGTGGTTGCATCATGAAATGAGCTCGACCACCTAACGCACCACTAGTCATACTATGATGCTCATCGTTTGGGATTCTTCCAGATGATTCCATACCAGGATGGTACCCATGCAAAGATTCTGTGCCAGAAGAAGAAAAAGGTATCAAGTTTCCACTTCCAGAAGCTTCATCTCCTTTTTTTTTTGTAAAAGAGAAGCTTCATCTCCTTTCACACCATTTCTTCCATCCTTCTTCCTCTCTATCTGAAACGTACCAAGAATCACCTGCAAGGGAAGCCAAAACCAAAACCAAAGCCAAAAAAGAGAGACTAAACTTTCAATTTACATGCAAATGTTTTAAACCTGAATGACAGTTGTCAAACATTTAAATAAAAAAAGACAAGAGGAAAGGTACCTGAACTGGACCAGCAGCTTTTACGAGTCCACCAACACCACCACCAAAGATCTGACCATCTGAACTAGACAAACAAACTCTAAGACCACCAGTTTTACCACCATGCTCGCCCCGAATATAAGATCCACTCAATGACAGGATTTCATACATATTGACCCTAAAAATAAAAATTTGTAATTCTGAAGCAAGTTTGATAACTATATGCAACTCTCAAGCATCAATCTCAGATTTTCAGAAATACATAAGATTATTTACTGATGAAACGCAATATTGCACATAACAGAATGGTTCAATAAAATTCTGTGAACATAGAATTAGTTCATCATCACAAGCAAACATACATTCAAGTCCAAGTTGACAAAAGTCATCAACCCATCATTATCATTTCTTGGCATCACTAATTTTTGTGGGATATATATAAATCATCCCTCTCATGATTTTAAACCTGGTGGACAACAGTTTTCTTTCAAATTCCTTTGAAAAGGCAAAGTCATTTCGCCATCGGTCTACACTCATTTGGCAACTTATTATCTTGCATTTGTTCAGATGTTACAAGCTTACAACTTCTAATGAAAAGGTCAACTTTGTTTGGAGCCTTTAAAATATTTCATTGTCGCCTCTGAGTTAAACAATGTCAGCAAGCAAGAAATGATAAACTAAAAAAAAACACAAATTGTTATATCTTTAACTCATGTTCAAACAATCAAACCAAAAGCACTAATTATTCTTGTACGCTATTTTACTCGGTCAAGACTGGATAAAAGTCAACGCGTTGGTGCCAAAACTAGAATTATTGACAGCATATATTAAAGGGCCATATATCAAATTATAAAGTAACAAGTTGTGGATCGTGGACCGTGCTTATAAGTGTGCATATGAAACACAGACGACCTCACAAAAAGAAACACAAAGGCATAGAAAAGAGCGTGAGAAAAGATGGAGAAACAGTTGCATAAAACTATGGAGGCTGCTCAGGTTGAACGAGGCATCCGAGACACATCACCAGAAAAAGAGAAGGAAAAATCTCCCAAGCATAGAGGAATATTCCACCTCCACCATCACTCAAAAGGTGAGAAAGAGGAAGACAAGACGAAGAAAGAGGGGTCAAAGAGAGAGAAGATAGCTGCAGCGATGGTTGGTCTTGGAGCCACCCTCAAGAAGAAGAAGGAGAAGAAGAAGAAGGATAAGGGCCACCGTGGACGTGGTGGAAAAGAGGAAGAAGGAGCAGAGGAGGAGGAAGAAGAAGAAGAGGAGGAGGAGGAGGAAGAAGGAGGCGGAGATGATGGTGGGGATGAAGAAGGGGGAAGCAAGTTTAGTGCTTTCCTTTCAATGATCTCTGGAGCATTTGAAGAATAAGATTATCTTATGATCACTTTGTTGTATATTAATTCGAACTTGCTTTTACAGTTGTTGTTGTTTTTCTTTAATAATTTGAAGCATGTTGTTCTAAAGTTCTTTTTAACACTTGGTTTTTATTAAACTGGTCCAAAACCATACATCATATTTTAAAAAAATGAACATATCTATTAATAGAAGCAATGTCAAAAGTTGTAAATTCCATCTAAGTGAAAGATTATGTCTTTTTATTACAAAGAAAAATTAGTTTTTTAAAAATACCTAAGTTGTTTTTATGTAAAAAACTGTTTTTTGAAATAGTATGTCTATTTAAATTTTAGTTACTTTTTAAAATAGTTAATCTTTATATAATAAATGTGTTTTTTGAAATGATGCGTCTATTCAAATATATAATGTGAATGTATCATTTCAAATAATTACTTATAATTAGACATTTGTGACTATTCATAAAAATAACTAATTTTAATTTGAAAAGTGACTATTCATTATCTGTACTTTGAATGTTGTGACAATTCATAAAAATAACTACTTTTAACTTAAAATATTGTAACTATTCACTGCCAATAATTTTAAAATTATGACTATTCATTAAAATAACTAACTTTAACTTGAAAAAATTGTAATTATTCATATAGAACTTTGAAAATATATAAGTAGTATATGTAAATGAGTTTTCTACGTAAAAGTTTCACTAATCTAAAAAATAGTGAAGAATAAAATTTCTTTCTAACAAAACTATATTTTTGATTATCTTAATTCTATGAATACATAATTGATATCCTATAAATTCATACACTTAGATTATATAAAAAAGTTTGACAGCGACACTTATGTTACATCTGTTATAATGACTGTTTCATGATATAAGTTTGCGGTCAGCATAATTAACGTTTTATGCGTGAATTGATGATTTGCATGTATTTAGGAATTCTGATGTTGGATTATAAAGTAAAGAATTATGTTGCTTAAACATAATACATTTGTTTAAGTGTACATTCATAACTATGTATATAAGCACGACATCTGGAAATTTTGCATATTGGTATTTAAGTTTCTGGAACTTTTCTTTTGTAAATCTGGAAATATTGTTTGTTTTTAGTTTAAGGTTCTATAAACTTTCACACATAAAAGAACAAGTGCAATGGTTGTATAAGTGCTTGAATTTTTTTTTCTTTTGTTCTCGAATTTTGCTGATAGTAATGCATAAATGATTGGTTTGCCGTACAAAATAAAGTTCATAAAAAAGTGTTTTACAGGAAATACATGAATACGATTTATGGAATTTGTTTTTGTTCACATGTGCATGCATTTTAACATTCTGAGGAATGAAAAATGTTTTGCATGCATGTGGTTTAATTACTCTAAAATTTTTTGTGAAGGTTATAATTTTGTTGGTGAAAGTCATAGTTAATTCTATAAAAAGTTACTAGATATATTTTCTTTATGAAAAGATACCATTTAAATTGTTCAAAGGTGACAAATAAAAGAATGTCCACTAATTTATTAATTATTTGATAAATAGTTATCGTTTATGAAAGAATTATAATGATTAATTAATGACTAAGTATATGGTTAAGTTTTCCATATATTTTTAAGAATCTATGTAGTTAAATAATATTAATAAAATATCATTATTAATACGGAAATAATTCATAATTCTTGAAAAATCCAAAATATGTGTATTTGTATCACTAAGAATTGAATTAGTTTAATAGAAATTATCAAAAGATTTAAAGATGTATTTTCTTAATGATATGTTTGAAGAGGTTATCAAAGTGTCTTAGGTGTATCTTTTAATTACTTGTGAATATTTTTGATAAATTTTCTTTCAGTTATGTTGCATATCTAATTTGTATGCATTTTGAAAAATCTTAAAAAAATATCTTAAAATATTGAGGTAATTCGGTATGTTGAGTAGATTAATTATTTATAATATTATATTAAAATTTATCGTTTAATTTTTTATAATTTCTTTTATTTATATATATTTTTAATTCTAATTCGGTTTCATTTATTCGGTTTCAAATCAAATATTTGAACTATTTTGACAATATTATATATTAGTAGATAAGCACCAAAAAAATGTAAAACATGTGATGTATATTAAAGAGGTCTGAGACCTTATTTGTCCATTTTTCTATAGAAATTATATTTTTATAAGGGTTAGTTCACTGATTTAGGTGGCATATAAAATTTTATTAAATTACTCATTAAAGTATTAGAAACGATGTCCACGTACCGTGAAAATAAGTTTAACATACATTAATATAAATGTATGATGTGATTAAGTATTTTCTTAGTCAACATGAAAGAGCTTAAACTTCTGTAAATATTGTTTATCGGAAAACTTGATCTTTTTGTAAGGGTTAAACCAGAGATTTCAAAATAAATTATAAAATACAGTATTTTTATTTTAATGCGTAATAAATCCAGCACAGATACATGATGAATATCAAGGATGTCTGACACCTTTTTTCCCCCAATTTCTCTCAAATATAGAGATTTCATAGGGTTTAGTTCTTTGATTTACATTATATGAAGTTTTATTAAATTACTCGTTGGAAAATTTTAAATGATGCCCATGTACAATGAAAATAAATTTAGGATACACAGTATAATTTTTTAAGTGTGTTTAGATGTTTTAAACGGCACTAAAGAAGCTAAACTTAAGTACAAATATCATTTATCGGAAAACTTTGATATTTTCGTCGGGCTTAACCCACATATTTCAAAATAAATGAGAAAATATATGATGAATATTAAAGAGTTTTGATACCTTAGTTGTCCAAATTTCTCTAGAAAATAGAGATTTAATAGGGTTTGGTTCATTGATTTTGGTTGTATATGGAGTTTTATTAAATTCTTCGGTTGAATATTAAGAATGATGCCCATATACCATGAACATAATTTTAATACATTAATATAATTTTGAATGTGGTTAACTATTTTTAAACAAAATTAAAGAGGCATATATATAACTTTTATCGGAAAACTCAATATTTTTGTAAGGGTTAATCCACATATTTCAAGATAAATTAGGAAACATCATATTTTTGTTTTAGTGAATTGCTGCATCATGCACTGACATAGTATAGAGAATAAATAGAGTTTAGACCTTAGGTGTTCCCGTTTCTATAGATTATAGAGGTTTTATAGGGGCTAATACACTTACTAAGTGATATATGAAGTTTAAATATATTACTTATTGGAAAATTAGAAATGATGCCATGTACCATAAAAATAAGTTTAGCATACATATATATAAATTGGGAGTGTGGTTAAGTTTTTTTAACCAACACTAAAAAGGCCAAACAGTATAGATAGTATTTAACGAAAAAATCATTTTTTACGTAGGGGTTAACCCACATATTTTAAACTAAATTTGAAAATATATAATTTTTGTTTTAATGCATAGATGGATCATTCACTGGCATAGTATGCAGATTAAATATGTTTGAGACCTTAGGTATTCTCATTTCTTTGGAAAATAGAGATTTTATAGATGTTAGTACACTAATTAGATCGTATGTGAAGTTTTAAAAAATGATTCGTTGGAAAATTAGAAATGATGCTATGTACCATAAAAATATGTTTAGCGTACATTAATATGCATTAGAATGTGGTTAGTTAGTTTTGAAAAAAATTAATCAGGCTATACTTTAGTATGTATAACATTTCTTGGAATCACACTCGATCTTTTCGTAAGATAAATTAGAAAATATGGTATTTTGTTTTAATGCATAATTTCATTACGCAGTGACGTGTGACGAAAATTAAAGAGGTCTGAGTCCTTATTTGGCCATGTTTCTACAGAAATTACATTTTTTATAGGGATTAGTCCACTAAATTAGGTGACATATGAAATATTTTTAAACTATTCATTAAAATATTAGCAATGATGCTCATGTATCATAAAAATAAGTTGAACATACATTAAAAAAAATTCATAATGTGATTAAATATTTTTAATAAACATGAAATAGCATAAACTTCAGTACATAGCATTTATCAGAAAAATCGATATTTTTGTAAGGGTTAACCCACAAATTTTAAAATATATTAGAAAATACAGTATTTTTTTAATGCATAGATGCATCCAGGACTGATATATGATGAAGATCAATGATGTCTGACACCTTTGTCGTCCCAATTTATCTAGAATATAGAGATTTCATAGGGTTTAGTTCTTTGATTTACGTTGTATATGAACTTTTATTAAATTGCTCGTTGGAAAATTAGAACTGATGCCCTTGTACCATGAAAATATATTTAGGATACATTAGTATAAATTTTTAGTGTGGTTAGATATTTAAACGACACTAAAGTGGCTAAACTTAAGTACAAATAGCATTTATCAGAAAACTTTGATCTTTTCGTAGAGTTAAACCCACAAATTTCAAAATAAATTAGAAAATACAGAAATTTTTATTTATGTATAGCTTCATCGAACACTGATATAGGATGAATATTAAAGATTTTTGTACATTATTTTTCAAATTTCGCTAGAAAATAGAGATTTTATAGGGATTGGTTCATTGACTTTGGTGGTATATGGAATTTTATTAAATTTGTCGGTTGATAATTAAGTCTGATGTCCATGTACCATGAACATAAGTTTAATACATTAATATAAATTTTGAATGTGGTTAGCTATTTTTTTTAAAAAAAACTAGAGGCCTATATATAACATATATTAGAAAACTCAATCTTTTTATAGGGCGTTAACCCATATAATTTTAAGAAAAATTATAAAATATCATATTTTTGTTTTAACAAATGGATGCATCATGCACTGACATAGTATGGAGAATAAAGAGGGTTGAGACGTTAGATGTTCCCGTTTCTCCAAAAAATTGAGGTTTTATTAGGGTTTGTATTTATCAAAAAATTCGATCTTTTTCGTAGGGGTATACCCGCATATTTCAAGATTAATTATAAAATATGGAATTTTTGTTTTAATGCATAGATGCTTAATGCACTGACATAGTCTGAAGATCAAGTATGTTTGAGACCTTAGGTGTTCTCATTTCTCTAGAAAATAAAAATTTTATAGGGATCACTACACTAATTAGATCGTGTATGAAGTTTAAAAAAAATTATTCATTGGAAAATTTGAAATGATGCCATGTAGAAAAGAAATATGTGTAGCATACATTAATATGCATTAGCGTGTGGTTAGTTATTTTAAAAAAAAATATTAGTCAGGCTAAATTTT